TGAATACCTTGCTTTATATTTCTCAACTGCTGTAACTATTGCACTACAAACTGTGCCCCAGATACATTATGGCTTTTATGTCCTACCACTAAACTACTTCTTATCCTGCCTGCATACAATCAGGATACCCCAAACTTCTCATGATTCCTCAAAGTAAAGCACAGCCTTTTCCCTTTGTCTGTCTCCTCTGGAATGCCCATTCTATGTTCTTTGGCTGATGGAATATTGCTCAGCCTTTAGGTCTCTGCTCACCGATCACACATCCTCTTTGAGCCTCCCCTATCCAACCCAGCCCTACAGGACCAGGTACAACCTCATGGGCCCATCCAGTCATGTGGGTTCATGTTCTGAGGATGCTGGGGCTTGCTGGCCTCTCTCATACCTCTGCATAACAAGATCAGATCCTCTTTCTACCTCGGATCTGGAAGAGTGGTCAGCATTTGCAGCCTATTGAGGAAACATCTAAAAAACCGGCTGGAACGAGTTAGCAGTTGTGGTTAACTTTATGAGTCCGTTTGACCTGTGTAACTGAGTGCTGAGATATGTGGCCCCCTTCTCTCCACTCTCCCTCCTCTTCCCTTCCTTCCCCTTGCCTTCCTTTCCCAAGATGACTGATAGAAGGCAGCTCCATTTCTTTGCAGAGAGAGAGAGAGAGAGAGAGAGAAAGAGAGAGAGAGAGTCTCTGTGTGTCTGTCTCTGTCTGTGGTGTATGTTGCTAAAACTCCATCCCTGGGGCAGTTATAAATGATATCCAGCCCACTTCCCAAGGTCCCAATGACAAACCAAGGTACAATTCCACCAAAGTTCACTCTGGGGAATCAGTGAGTTTATTGGGCTTACTCACAGAGCACATTCACCCATCAAGCAAGGGATGGATGTGGCTTCCTCATAGCTGCATAAATGCAGCCCCTCTCCCTTACTCTTCCTCAGCCTGTATACTCCAGTCCTTTCTCCAGGTCACATGACTACTGTGGGGTGGAAGGGATAGCCAGGTGCTCAGATTAGGGTCCCACATCTTTCCCCTTGTCTTCCTTCTATGAGGGATGGTCAACAGTCAACATGCCTGGCTGTGATGATCTTTTGTACGTGGGTACAGCTGAACTCAGGAAGATGGCATCTGCCTGGCTCAGAGGACTGTCCTATACGTAGTGTGTGTATGTGATGTGTTCACCTCTACCTCTATGGTATGTGTTCTTCCCCGACATCTGATGCTAGCTCTTTCAGAATGTAGATAGTTTATTCGCATCAGAATAAGTTATATGTATATGTTACCAAGGCAGCGTTCCAGGTCCCATCCGAGACCCTTAATCCATAAGGTAGGAATGAGGCATAGACTGCCTTCAGGAAACCGCAGTGCCAGCCACTGCATTCTGGGCAGCTAGAAGTTTGGTTCTTGACATTGTACACTGGAATGTCATGGGACAGTCTAGATGACTAACTTGTTAACCTGTGTAACTCAGCACTCATCTTCAGCTTCTGGGTGTCAGCTCTTGACCTCCCTGCCTAAGGGGAACACTCATTCTCACAGAGGTCTGTGCCTGTGCAAGCAGATGCAGTCCAGTACCTCGCAAGTGTTTCCCATCTGGAGGCCTGGTGGGCTGTGTGGCTCCATCTCAGCTGGGCCCTGTGCTTGACCACAGGAACGATGCAGCCTATTATGGGGCTTAGTTTCTCTGGAGTCATTTCAGAGATCTACAAACAGTCTGCTGTTTTCTTTGCAGAAGAAAATGATAGGGTCATTTGCACTGGAGCGTTTCACTGGAACCAAGTAGTTTATACACAGGACCACTGTAGTCAGAAAGGCCATGGGCCTGATGGGAAGGTGACTGTGGAATCTATGGGGGAAAATGATGTCTGAATCAGAAGCACTGCAATCTGCAGTCATCCTGAGCAAAAAGTACAGACGACCACCCTACTGATGGCTGCATGAGCTTGTTTTTCAGTTGGTACTGTGTTTTTTAAAAAAATGAGGATTTGGGCTGGAGAGATGGCTCAGCAGTGAAGAGGACTTATTCCTCTTCTGAAGGAATCAAATTTGGTTCTTAGCACCCACATGGAGGCTAACAACCATCTCTAACTCTAGTTCCAGGAGATCTGATGCTCCATTTTGGCCTCTGTGGGTACCGTGTGCATGTGGTATACTTACATGCAGGCAAAACACTCATACACATAAAATAAAAATATTATTTCAAAACTGAGGATTTAAAGGTATAACTTAGTGGTAGAACTCATGTCTAGCATGTGGGAGGTCCTGGATTCAATCCTCAGCACCAGAAAAAAACAGAAATAAACAAAAATGGAAATCCAGATTTTGTCTTTCCGCAAGAATCCAGAAGCTCCAGACCTGTGTCCCCTACTGGATAACAACAGTGTCATTGGAGGTAAGTGATGGCCACATCCTGAGTCAGGCCACCCACTCTCCTTGTTCCCAGAACCCCCCACCCCCCCACTGGATAGTATTGTTGTACTGTTTGCCCTGTTTTCTCAGATGAGGTGACACAGTCAGCCTGCTGTTACCTGGACCCCATGAGCACCAGTGTGTGAGCTCACATGGACATCCCAGATCTCCCTCCTGGGCAGACGGCAAATGGCCACAACACCATCTCATGCTCTTTTCTGTGATCTCTTTCAATGTTCAACTTGGAAAGGACCTCTCTTCATGCCTTCCGCCAGACACCTGTCTTGGCATTTCCTTGGTTTTCACCTGAATTTAACCAACTGGTGTGTTTTTCCTGGAAACTTGGCATGACACTCACAGGGTGAATGCATGTTGTCACCTGAGGTGTGCCTTCCCTGTAACCCTGAAACACCTACAAAGCCACCAGGTAGAGGCCAATGTCTGAAGGAGGAGGATTTTGGTTTTACATCCCAGGATGATTTTATCAACTTTGTCTAGGAGATGTGGTCAAGGAAGTAGCTCCTAAGGGTACAAGTGGCCCTTCGGGGTCTTCTCTCTGTTTTCCCACTGCTGAAATGTCCCTGTGACTGATCTCAGGAGCTGTGGTTCTCTTACCTATGACTTGGTCACAGGATTCTTTGTCATGGGTTTCAAGGGTAAAACTAACAGAGGGGGCAGGTGTGGCCAGTAGGGCTTTGGGCAGAAGTCCTGGGAGTCCCCTGAAGATCTATTCATTTAAACAATCTAAAACTAGATGAAAAAGCTTAGAAGATATCAAATTTCATTTTAAAAATTGTTGACACAGAGCCATGCCTCCAATTTTATTAAAAAAAAAATGCTTTCTTTGTATGTTCTACTAATAGTGGCATTGATTTGTCATTTTATAAAGCTTAAAATGTGATTTAATTAGCATTTTAAAAGCATCATGTCGGGCCAGGCGTGGTGGCCCACACCTTTAATCCCAGCACTTGGGAGGCAGAGGCAGGTGGATCTTTGTGAGTTCGAGGCCAGCCTGGTCTACATGGTGAGTTCCAGGACAGCTGAGCTACAAGGAGACCCTGTCTTAAAAAGACAAAAAAATAAATAAATAAATAAATAAAAAAATAAAATAAAATAAAAGCATCATGTCTAGTGTGTTGAAGCACAGAGCACTTTTGCCTTGACAGTGAACAAACAGAGTTTCCTGGTTCTCCACAGGGAAGTAGGTTCAAGGAGACAGGAGAGAGAGGGAGAGAGGAGTGGGGGTTGCGGGGAGAATGACAGCACACATTCTCAGACGTTTCCAAAGAGCAGCCCTCAGTCCACAACACAGGAAGGCTAAGGTCACATGGATAGTTGGCTTCTATGCCAAAGGCTTAAGTTTAATTAATTGTGTGTGTGTGTGTGTGTGTGTGTGTGTGTGTATGTGTACATACACACAGGCATGTACATATGGAGGTCAGAGGACAACTTATGGGAACTGGCTCCCAGCTCCTGCTGTGTGAGTTTGGAGGACTGAACTCAGGTTGTTCAGACTTGGTGGCAAGCCCCTTTATCCACTGAGCCATCTTGCTAACCCTTAAGTTTATTTTGAATGTTTACTTGAAAGTACTCTTTTTATGGTTTGGAGTATATTTTCCCCATAAGGTTCATGTGTTGGAGGCTTGGTCCCCAATGTAATGGTGATGGTGGGACCTTTGAGGGGTAGAATCCAATAGTAGCCAAATAGGTCTTGACTTCTTTGGCAGAAGGGATTAATAGTGGTATCAGAGATTGAAACAGGAATGGATTAGTTCCTTCAGGAGTGAGAACTACTTCAGCCCCTTGCTTCATCTTTCACACGTGATGCCATCCATCATGTAGAGATGCAGGCCAGCAGTCCTTCACCAGATACCAGCGCCATGTTGTTTAGACATCCTAGCCACCAGAATTATGAGCCAAATAAACCTCTTTCCTTCATGCATTACCTAGGGCCAGATGTTGAGCCATCGCAGCATCAAATGGTCTAAGTCAACTTCTTACATATATATAAGGAGAAAGAAGTTTCTGGACAGTCAGCAAATGCTCAGTCATGTAGGAAGAAGCACAGCATAAAATGTTAAATTTAAAAAGCAAAACAAAACCACAGGTAATGTGATCCCAATTGAGCAAAGTCAAGTTCTGTATGTTTCTCTTTCTTTCTTTTTTTTTTTTTTTTTTTTTTCTTTTGTTGAAAAAAAAACCCTCTGCCAAATCCCTGCTTGTGGAGAAAAGGTTTTATTCAGCTTACATCTCCCAGGTCACAGTTCATTTCTAAGGGAGCCCAAAGTAGGAACTCACAGCAGGAAACTGGAGACAAGAGGTGAAGCAAAGGTCATGGAGGAATGCTGCTTACTGGCTTCCTCCCCTGGCCCATGGGAGTGCTGGGGCATGCACCACCACGCCTGGCTATGTTTCTATTTCTATGACTATATAGACCTAAACAGAAAAAACTCAAAAGTGAAATTTGTCAAAAATGATATTAAATTTGTAATTCATTATTACTTTGTATTTTTCCAGATTCCTTTAGTGAAAATACATTTCTGTAAAACTGTATTCTGAAACACATATAGAATGACACATATATTATAAGTGAAGCTGGCCTTTGATAAAAGGGACTAAAGAAATGTGAATACCAATACCAGACATTGGAAGAAAAATGTATTCAACTCGGGTTTCTTAGTAAGGAGATAAATAGTTCTGAAGTTCTCAGTGATTCCTAACCTCTGAATCAATTCTGATAAACGAAGCTTGGGCTAGGGTTTTAATTCAGCACTTGCAATAAACCCCTTGTGCAGGTGGCTTTATGGAGCCCCCACTGGCCTTTGACGTTCGGGGATGCAGGAGGACCTGAGGCTGCCTGGAATGATGGGCAGCACTGCTTTCTGGGTGGTGCGGGCTCCCTAGAGGCTATGAAATCTCCTTTCTTTTTGCACCGTCCACAGATTTCCTTGGGGTCTTTTCTCTAAAGGTGTGAAGCTTTCTTACAATAGTTGATGGTGTCTGGTTCTCTCCTTTCCTTCCTCTATCGTTAAGAATATATAGTATAGCAGAGGACTTGGAAGTAAAATAAGCATTATTTCAGAGTGACTGATTTTCTTTTACCCCGCCTGTGGCTAAAGCCCTTTAAGATGAGGCTGTGTTCTCCACCAAAGGGCCAGGGGAGCTACTTCTAGCTTCTACTCAAGATTGTTTCCTCTGTTTTTCAGACTATCCTGTTGGACTGGCTAATGCAAAAGAAGGCAGATGTTTCTCTTGTTTACAGTAAGGACAACTGAAGATTTGATTTCTCCTAATTTTATATTGACAATTTAAAAAATGTATCGCAGTGGAAACAAGAAAGAAATCTGTAGTGGCAGCAGGCCAGGTTTCTGAATTCTGCATTGACTCAGACTTGGCCTGGACTTTCTAAGGCCTCAGCCCCGCCCCCCACCCAGGCCTTCTTTAATTTCACCTATTCCTAGTTCTTGGCTTTCTTCAGAATGGAATCGCTAATGCTTCTGGCAACTGTGTTTTATTAGGAAGGGATGATGCTTTGTTATTAGATTGCATTTTATTATTTCCTTCAGCTCAATGTGCACCTGATATTGGAGGGCTCTCCCTATGGGTTGAGATTGAGAAATGATGCCAGTGATGTGGTTTTATTATTTTTGAGAGCCCTTGTGCAGCCAGATGAGAAACCCCAGTGGTGACTGCTGAAGGACAGGTGGCATTGCCATTTCTAACTGGTAAAGTCTGTTGTATGTGTACCTAACAATCCTCTTTTGCTGACATCACAGACTGGGCGGCACAGCTGGTGTTCCTTTCTCTGCTCCATGAGATCAGAAAGCATCTAGCACAGCGATCCTGGCTTCTTCACACAACGGATCTAGTTTACCATCACCTCCTAGGAAAATAGATAACACCTTTTGGCCATCTTCCCATACAAATTGATGTCATATTAAATATATCCTGGGCTTCCACCAGGAATGTATTTTCAAAGACTGCAGGCATGGAAAAAGTTAGTTAGCCTTTAACAGAGTCTTAGTGGATTGCCTAAGCTCTTACAGTCAGGAATAGGGGGGTAGACATGGTGCCAACCCATAAGGCCAGAAACCCTCTAGGGGAAAGCAGTCTGCAGAATGTAGCTGATAATGCCATATACCATAGGCATACTGACTCAATTGTCCCAGAAGTCTAGATAAAATAAATAATGTGGAACAAAGGTGACTTTGAAATAACATAGTAATAACACACACACATTATTAAAGTGTAAAACACCAAACATAAAACTGTATTATCCTCAAATCCTATCATATGTTTGAAGCCAGGGCTTAGCCTCACCCTCTTTCCTCTTCTGTCTCCAGTATTTGGGAAGAAGCTGAGGGCCACAGCATTCACTCTGTAGGGGAGAGTGTAATCCTCCGCATAACACAGGGTACTAGGGCTCTTAGTGTGAGTTTGGAATGCAGAAAAACCCCCCCGATTTGAGGCTAGGCATGGCACCTTGACCATTTCGACCAGAGACTGAGGGGGCTTCTCAGAGGAGGCTGAGTGCTGGCTGAGCAGAGACTTCCTACACTTACCAAACTCTAAGTCTTGGATGTTGCAGCGGAAGACTGTTTCTTCATTGACCACGAGTTCCACCACGTTCCAGTCTTCTATCTTCTCTAGGATGACCTGATGGCCGTCTTTGGCCAACACAGCTAGAAAGTGGAGAGGGAAGCAGGTGACATGGGGTCAGACTCCAGGTTAGCTTGATATGTCTGTGTCCTTGTGGGCGACAGCAGCTTGTCTCCTCCCTGGCTGCACATGGTAATAACTTAACAATTCAGTGGTCACTTACCTGACTCTGGCCTCCATGTCCCCTCATGTTCTCAGGAAAGCCAGACACCCAAGAGATGCATATCTTGGTTGTGAGTGACTCCAGATCTGTGAGGAAATGACCTTTCTCTAGGAAGTAGCCACTGGGAGTCCCACAAACTTAATTTCTCTTTTTGTTGTTTTGTTGTTGTTGGTTGAGACAAGGTCTTCAGCCTGGTTGTCTAGAACTCACTATGTAGATCTGGCTGAACAGGCTTAATTTCATAGAGATTATGCTCAGTGTTACAGGAGATTCAGGATTTGCCTACTTCTTTTTCTGTGATGGAAATACAAATTGGTTGCCTTTTCAGAAGGCAATTCAGAGTACAAACCAAAACCTTCAAAAAATGATTTGAAGACATTGCACTTAAAAGAAATCTCCATAAGGAAAAAAAATCAGAAATACAGATTTTTGTAACAAGATGTCCTTTCTAAATTATAATACCAAAATTCTGTGAATAACTCATGAGTCTAATAAAACGATGGCCAAGTTAACAGTGCTATGTCCACATGGTGAGATTTTATTTGGACACTTAGAATTATGGGCTGGTAGAGGTGGGTGGATCTCTGTGAGATTGATACCAGCCTGGTCTACATAGTGAGTTCCAGGCCAGCTGGGGCTGCAGGGAGACCCTGTTTCAAAAAGACCCAAAAAAAAAAAAAAAAAAGAATTATGAGCTGGTAAGATCGGGGTTAGGATGCTTGCTGCCAAGCTGGGCAACCCGAGTTCAGTCCCTGGAACCTACATAGTAAAAGGAGAGTATCTACTGCTGTAAGTTGTCTGACCTTTGCACATAAGCCATGGCATATGTATGTGCATGCTTGTGCACGCACACACACATATACACACAAATATGTAAATAAACACAAGAAACAAAATAGGAATTAAAAAATTTATAAATTTAAAAAAATGGACCAATACTTGTGATATGAACAAAAATCAGGATACAAATGTAATAATATATATTCTTAATATATGTCCAACATCAATTAAAATATGTAAGGAAGAAGAGCCTTGTGTGGTGAGCTACAATCCCAGCTCCTAGGACATTGAGGCAGGAGGCTCTTGAGTTAGAGACCAGCCTGTGCTATGGTGTGAGAGCCTGTCTTAAAATATAAGAAAGGAAGGAAGGAGAGAGAGAGAGAGAGAGAGAGAGAGAGAGAGAGAGAAGAAAGGAAGAAAGGAAGGAAGAGAAAAGGAAGAAAAATATGCAGTGGTTATCTCTCCATGGTAAAATTATGTGAAACTTTCTTATTCTTCCAGCACTTCCTACATTGTCTATAAAATCAGAAATTTTTTCTGTTAAAAGCAAATGGATTTGTTGTTCTCACATTTGAATCTGCAGTTTGCTTATCCTCTGTGTTCAGTGGATCTCTCCCAGAGATCAACCACAGAGTTTGTTAGATTTAATCTCTCTCCCCGTCCCTCCCTCCCTCCCTCCCTCTCTCTCTCTCTCTCTCTCTCTCTCTCTCTCTCCTCTCTCTCATAGAGGATCAAACCTAGGTCTTCAGCACATGTGCTGGATAGCTTTAGTTGTCAACATGACACACCTGGGTTGAGGGAGCTTCAGTTGGAGAATTGCCTCCATTGAACTGGCCTGTGGCCATGTTTGTGGGGCATCTTCTTGATTACTGAATGATGTGGGAGGGCCCAGCCCACTGTGGGTGGTGCCACCCCTGAGCAATATAAGAAAGCAGATTAATGGAAGTGAACGGTAAAGTCCTATTACTGAAGACACAGCATGACGTGAGCGCAGAAGAGGGAGAAATCAAGCTTGGACTAAGCCGGAAACTCCCTGCCCCTGGATGGGTGTCTTTCATAGTGCTAGAAGGCGACATGAAGATGGCTGGGGGAGAGCTGTCCCTTATAATTCTGTTCAATGATGGACTCTGCATGATGAACTATCAACATGCCAAACAAGATGTTCCTGCTGGTGCAATAGTAGCACGTCTACTGTATGCACAACCAGCAAATTTTTGATTGGATATAATGCCCGCTTCTAGAGGTGGAACACACATCTGGTACTGTAGACCAGGCCAACCCCGTGACAGGGGAGGATATAGGCCCCAGTGGGGAAGTCACTACAATTGTTTTGTTAGATGGATGTGATATACCTGCTAAAGTACTGTCTAAGCATTTGTGTTTAGGTCCATAGGTTAAGTTATTATAGCAGTCCTGTTTAGGAAAAAAAAGAAAGAAAGAAAGAAAGAAAAGCAGGTTGAGCATGGGCAAGAGGAGCAAGCCAGTAAGCAGCATTCCTCCATGACCTGTGCTTAAGACTCCTGCCTCCAGGTTCCTGCCCTGAGTTCTTACCTTGGGCTCCCTTAGTGATGAACTGTGTTACCTGGGAAATGTAAACTAAATAAATCCTTTCCTCCCCAATTTGGTATTGGTCAGAGTGTTTTGTCACAGCAATGAAGAAGCAAACTAGAATAGTATGCTAGACAAATATGTGTTCTACTGCTGAGCTATAGTCCCAGCCTAGGTTTAGTCTCTTGTCTGTAGAATGACATGGCAGCCTCTTAAGACATCTAATCTCTCCAGCATGTTTTCCCATTTCCCTGGTGTGCTCACTGTACCGTCTGTCTTAGCGCTGGTGAGTTGACCATCAGTCTGCATGCACTGCTAAGAATTTTGGTTAGGTAGGAAGGAGACATCACATGGGGCATGTTTTCTAAAGTCTTAGTACTCTAATCAGTCTTTGAAGGGGAGAAAACAGACATTTATGTCAGTTAATTGCATTTAATTATAGCAATTGCTGTTGCAAAATGTTGGGTGTCCACTTCTTCATCTTTCAATCAGTTCAAGAACATCCAACTCCAACTGTGAGCATTTTAATTGTGTAATTTTAATTTCCCTTGTAGAAAGAAACGAGAAAGAATCAGTAAGGGTCTCCATTAACAAGATAGCACTCCCCAGGCACCCAGTGGTGGCCCTAATTGGCCTGTTTCAGCTAATACAGCTTTCCAAAGATTGCCCAAGTCTTTTCTTGGGCATATTTGTGTTATTGTATCCTGTTTAAGTGTCTTGTTCTTAAACATCTTTGAAGAAGGCACTCAACTTGGACCAATGACTTAAGTGAAGTGATCCAGCTGGTTTGGAAGGGCAGTTCATCATCTAAGGAGACATGATGTCAGTCCATGGGAAGGGATTTCTGGGCTCATGCTCCCCAGCCTACAACAGGGAGCAGCTACAAGTAGGGAGTTGCAAATGGCCTCTGGGACCTTTGGCTGTGCGTGCTCTTAAGATCCTCCTGGGAAGTGACTGCAATCTGATAGCAATAACTCAGGAGCAAAGCAGCTTCCTTTTCCCCACCTGGCCTCACTGCCACTCTGCTGCTCACTCACAAGGCCTGCTCTCTAAGGCCTGAGGGGCCCTGGAGAGCATGGGGATGCAAAGACTGGGTGGGGTGGTCCTTTATGTCCCAGACACCCATGACTCACAAGGTTCATTTGACTGAGCCTCATGGAGTTGAGGGTGTTGAATAACAAGGATCTCACCTCTCTGTGAGCAGGTAAAGTCCACAGGAAGGGATCTTCTCTCCCTCTGTGAGTTGCCAGGCGCAGGCTTTTGAGCTCTTTGAGAGAAGGTGTCTTTTCCTAACTGTGGTCCCAATTCTGCTCCTCCTCTAGGTACCTGGAGTCAACATAGGCTCCCTGAAGCAACAAGCTTAAAATGATGCTGGGCACAACTAACTTCCCTTGTGGCCACCAATGACCTGATTTGTACTCCAGTGACACTGCTGTAGAGTCTAGCATACTGTCACCCTCAGGACATCCCCCTTTCCCTCAGTGAGGAGGTGGTGAGGCTGGCTGCAGTATGGCTAGTGCAGGCTCAAGGGATGAGAGAGATACCCTGGAATTCCTGCAGCTCACTCAAATGCCACTGCTCCACATGGAGGGGCCACAATTTCCTCTGAGTTGCTATGGGGTTGTCTATTCAAAGAAAGGTCAGATAAATATGCTCCCTGAAACAAAGTCTGTGCACAGGCAGTGGCTAAACTCCAGCATAAATCAGCCAGCAGCTGTAAGGCCACCCGCAGAATGCCCACCTCTTTGAAGTGGCACCTCATTCCTCACGGGGGATCTGGATAGGGACATGGTTAGGCTCTGTCCTTGCCATGCTCTCAAGTTGTGCTCCATCTGTGGATGATTTAAATGCTGCTGGGTCAGAAGTCAATGTACATAGACAGATTGCTTTCCCTCTTTTACTCAGCACAGAAATGATGCCAGTGGCCATTAATGGGCACAGCTAATGCGTCACTGGGGATGGGAGGATGGCACTTGGGTGTCTTGGCTAAATAAAGATGGATTCTATTTTTAAGGGGCAGTTCCAGCACCTTCTAATTCCTTTGAGGGGATCATTTGGCAGACTCGAGTACAGCAAGTAAAGAGCAACCATGGCCAGAGCAATTACTTAGAAGTCTGTTAAGCACTGGTTTAGTGGAGACATTTCTGCTGAGCTGTTATAATTCATGGATAATAAAGAAAGAACAAGAGTTTTCGGATTGCTTAAGGCATAGTAAGTTCAGAAAAGATCAGGCATCCTTCCAAAGACAGCAGGGCTTCGGGAAATGATAAAAGGCTATGATTTTTGAAAGTCAGACACAGGAGTCAGATGCAGATTTTACAGAGGACAGCTTACAAGTAGGGGGGGAATGGGAGACAGGGAGGGGATGCAAATGTTCCTTACTTTGCTGTTATTAACACCTTGGTCATGAGTCCTCCGTAAATGTTGGCAGCTGCTGTTAGATGACTTATCATGCACGGGTATACAGAGCTTACTTTACAAATCAGCCACCCGCCGACACCTTGCAGTCCTCTAGTCTCCCTCAACCATCAA